AATTTTCAAACCTGATAGAGCATGGTTGGTTTGCAGCAACAAAATAAATAAGACGTTAATGAATTCCGCGGCTTTAGTGCTATCATAACATTGATATAACAGCCAGACTTTACCAAGTGAATAACAATTGCTAACTAAAATGCAAGTGGCGTTGGTGGAATTACAATAATTTTAAGACAAATAGGATGATTTTATAAAAAAAAACTTAGTGGTACTGCCAAATGCCAATATTACAGTTTTTGATTCTATTCCCGGTTGAGACAGATTTGTAAATCAATAAGTCCAGCGTAGTAGAAACTCGAGAATCTTGATAAATATCGTAGTTTTTCTGTTTGTTGTGGTACAAACTATGTCGGAAGACTGGTCATGGCCCTTTATCAACTAATTGATTGTTTTAAAACACGTACTGAAAATTTAGATGTTAAAATGTTTGGATGGATGTTTGTTACTCAACCAGGTCAGAATGACTAAACGGATCTGAATGAATTTTGGTAGAGACATAAATTATAGTCTGGAAAAGCACATAGGCTACTTTTTATCCCGGAAAAATAAAAGGTCCCCGTGGGATAGATTTGTTTTTGTTATTCAACAACATAGTTGTAATAATAGTAAGAACAGGAGCATTATTTTGAGCAAATTCTTTAAATAAAACTTATAAAGGGTAGTGACGATATCTATTTATACTCCAGTTATTTTTACCGTTTTAAAAGAAGATCACTAAATATAAAGTCGATTAGAAAATGGATGATAAATAAATATTATTTCTTAGTTGCATTGACATTTATTAGGCTCGGAAGTCGGAGTGTCTTCATCTATTAACGAAGTGCCTGCTGTTAGAGTTTTATTATATTTCCGTTTCACATTAAACTTATGTTCTTCTATACAATTACTTTTTCTCTCAACTTTGTCATAGCCATAGAACCTTTCTACCTAAATAAAATATTTTTTTAACAAAATAAAGCTGTCTTAATTGTATCTTGACTTATTATCCGAAAAATTTCGGTAGACTTATGGCCCTTGACATGGTTAGTTTGGGATAAGAGTATGTAAATATTATACCCTTTTAAACGTTTCACTCCTGGGCACGTGCCTTCCAATACGAGGGCGTCAGGACATAGTCCACTACGCTGGCCAAGTGTGGGTTAGCGGACTTCTCATGTCTTTCAAAAACTTTCTAGGTTCTCACAGACATACAGGTTTCCTCGTGATCTTTTCCTTCACCATAAGACAAGTGGCAATCACGTTGGAAATGATTCGCACATGAATATAACAGAGGTGTGAGACCCGGGATTTGAACCCGCTTCACTCTGTTTCCCAAGCAACGCGCTACCATTGGACTACCACTGCCTCACTGGTTTACCACTAATACCTGTGCTAACGCTAATACCAAAAAGACTATAACCAGGAGTATTAACACATAGGCTACTATTATTCACTTAGGGACTGAACGAAGCGAGAGTAATTTACTACTCATCTGTAAATCGAATTTTAGTAATCTTAGCCCAACTTTCTGTATTAGATCAAAAATAGTTAAAAAAACAATTGTGTGATAAATCTTTTTATAGCATACCTACGATATAGAGTTCGTCGTATGCGTTTATTATCAAAGACATCCAATTAATGTAGCAAGTGTGTTTTGTCGTGTCAAGTTACCGCATCGCGCAGGCCACTTCAGCAAAGACTTTGTGTTTCAACTCCTTATATTCTATAGCATAAAGTTCATTTTGTAAAGAGAAATATTTAAAAAAAAAATATTTTAATGTATTTTAAACTTTAATTCTTGAGAAATTAGGTCGGTTTCAGCTTATGTCACCATGAAAACATCATGGCACTGTGGTCCTTGCCTGAAGGAAATCTTTTAAAACCCCTTGCGTATCTTTACTGCTTGTACACGATTTTATCGAATTTTTAAACTTTTGTACAAAATAGAAATATGTTAAAACAAGCAAATTACTCTCACTTCGCTCGAGTGCGTTCCTGACTGCCATATGTTACTCCAAGTTATAATCTATTTATATACAAAACTTTATTCAAATTTGTCCAGCCATATCCAAAGTGACAGACGTACTCACAGATACAGTATTTATACTATTTGTAATATTTCATTATTTAGTACCTATCATTATTTCATTGTTTTATTCATATAATAAGTTGTATAAAACTGTCATTGGATATAAAAAAGGCCTCCAATTTTATTAACCAAGGCTTCTGCCTGCGGCTTTGTAACTTATTATTAAATCTATTTATATATTCTAAATATCAAAATATATTACGTAATACTTCATGAATATGAACCACTAACAAAATAAACTATCAAATTGTCATCCTATTGAAAAAGAAATTAAACCCATGGTATGGCTCTAATGAACTCGTTTGCTTTGAATGCTAATTGCACGGCTTTAGAGAGATTTTTACTTAATACACATCTGCCCGGCACAAAGAAGCGTTCATTTCGATTGTTTTTGTCACCACAGAAATTATTCAAGAACTTATGAAGGAAAAATTTTAGTAATACAATGTCAATATAGCCTATGTCATTCATTATCTATGCATAAATTATTTTTTGGGAAATCTTACTGAAATAACCATTATTATCGACACAGAAGCCGAATCTATAGTTTTTAGAATTTTTGTCTGTCTGTCTGACGCATTACTAGAAAACCACTAGACAGGTTGTTATGAAATTTGATATGATGATAGCTGGTTATCCGGATCAACATATTATCGGATACATTTTACTGCGGGATAATATCTCATCTCTGAGAAATATATATTAATCGTTAAAACATATCTAGATACCAACGACGAACCCAAGTGGAGCGAGGGTGAGTTGCTAGTTTCTAAATAAAAATTAAGTTTACGTAGAATTAGGTCTTAAGAAAATTTTAAATAACCAAGTTTTGGGTAATTAAAAGTTTAAGTTACTCTATAAAAATGACCTAAAAAAATTGTGTCGTGACCTGAATCTATACAAATTTGTCAAATGCATTATGGTGGTAAAAGATTCATGCAATTTTTGCACAAAAAAACTCTTAACGAGGTTTTATAATAAGAAATATAAATTTAATACCAAAATGTTTTGAACGTATTAACACGCTTTTCCTAATAATACAAGCATAAATGGCATGCGCAAAATTTTTGTACTGTCACGTCATTAGAAAAAATTTATAAATGAGTAGTGTATCAACTATCTGGTATTCCTAACACAAGCCTCGTAGCTTAACATGAAAGTAAATGTGTTAATTGGATAATTGAGCGTAATATAAGTAAAATAATAAATATTGTTTATAAATTCCTTTCAAAATATAATTATAAGATGAAAATATTGGTACACTATCTCATATAACTTATAAGCATTTTAAATCAAACAACTTTCAAGACTTTGCAATAAAAAGTAATTACAATTTTTATTTGTAGAGTTTTCACAGAACTCAGGCTTGAGATCTAAAGAAGAAATATAATATTTTCTTCTAAGGCCGTTGGTAAAGGAGATTATAAGGAAATATGTTAGAGCATGCCAGGAGCTAGTTGCAAATATGTTCCCATAGGACGATATGTATGTACGATGTAATGCTATGTGAAACTCGGTAATATTGACCGCTCTTTACTCCGTTAGTCCGTTTTCCCAATGATCATAAATCTGCAAAATGCCAGGAAAAATGTTCTCGAAGTTTCTGAAACATTTCGTTGAAGTTCGAATCCATTCTCTGCAGGCTTTAAGTCGCGTAGGTTTGTAATTGATACGTAACGGCGTCACCATAAAGAAAGATTGATATTATCATGGCTATTTTAAGTTACATTTGTTTGTAAATTATAATAAATCTTATCAATTTTTTAATAATAAAAAATCATCTATATATATATAAAAATGAATCCCTATTTCCCTTAATTACGCCATAACTTAATTTTATTAAGTTTTCTAATACTTTGTAGAAGTTTCTTACAGAAAGAAAAATTAAGAAAATTGAGCAGAAAATTGGAAAATTACCTCATTCCCACGGAAAAACATGTTATAATAAAACTCACAATAACTCATCATACCTATGTACATATATTTGTATATAAACATATATAGTCTACCTATTCCATACTAACCGTTGAATCGCATTTAGGACGAACCCAAGCGAAGCGAAGGTGAGTCGCTAGTCTATAGATATAATAAGACCGTAGAGGTAAAATGATTGTACTTAGAAAAAAATGCTTAACACCGAGTCAGGGGGATGTAAGAAGAGAAATAGAACAAATCCAGTTTTTTTTTTCAAATTTTTCATTTCTTTGTCTGTCTGTTTGTACGGGTTAATCTCCAAAACTGTTAGACCGATTTAAATGAAATTTTGCATGGTTATACCTTATATTCCCTGTCAACATTTTAAATACCTTTCATCCCGGAAAATTAAAGAGTTCCCGTGGGATAGTTAAAAAACAATAGTAGCTTATACAGCTTAGTACAACAACTTATGCACCTAATTTAGTAAAATTTGGCATGTTGATGCCTTATGTTGCCGGTCAAACAACAGATTACTTTTTATCCCGGAAAAATCCCGGTTCCCGTGGGATAGATCTGTTTGTGCTTTTCTAGAGCAGTTATTTATAAATTAAGTACATTTCGTAGCAGACAATATATTCTTTAGTTAATTTCACTTAAGTAGTCTATATTATATCAAGTGTTATTTTAATACTAACGTGTGTTTTCAGTCATTTCAATATTACATTACAATAATAATATGTTAGAAACACCATTCTCCAATTGGTAGAAGCCAAAATGTGCACATAATATAGTATATTTTAAAAGTATTGAGGCATATTCCTATTTACGGCTACTTTTGACTGCGGGAAAATATCTCATCTCTGAGAAATCTATACTAAACGTTAAATCACAATTAGAGACGAAAATTTTAATTAAACTTACAATAAAATACATAAAATATCTAGTACAATTTCTACAGCATTCTAACAAATATTTGAGAGAAATGTCCATATGGAAATATTTCTACACTCACCGAAATAGTTCCTTTGAACCTCGGATCCATTCTCTTTAGATTTTCCATGAAATCCCGTACAGTCCTGCGCGAATGATCCACTATACGGAACCCAGTTATGTTGACCGCGCCATACTCCGTTACCTCATTCTCCCAATGGTCGTCCATAACCTGTAAATGGGAATGCTCTAAGTTCCAGCCAAGACGTGACTCGACTACCATGGCTATCCATATTGTATAGCTTTTTTAAATTCTGTTCAGAAATAAGAAAAAAAATACTTTTTACAAGCTTCTGTTAGTTTAATTTTTTTTTAATAATAATTGGGCCTGTCTCATTGGATTAAGTTTCGATATACCGATATTCGATATTAATTACTCGATATTAATAATATAGCTATAATTATATAACTTGGGAGCTTGGCTCATTATGGAACCGAATGACGGCTACAGGAAACAACAGATTAAAAAAAGAGATTATTTATAAAGTAATATAAATACGAGTATACTAAATACAAACAGTAAGGTATTAATATTTTCTCCACATTAATAAACCTAATAGATGGTTTTACGCAGGCGAATAGAGCATATTTTTACACTTCAAAATGATGATGATGATGTTCTCCTGACCAATACCGGCCACGGCGGCCAATCTCATTGAGACTAGCCAACTGCGCAGGAGATATTATAGTGCACAAGCGTACGCGCAGACACAAGTGCACTCTCTACTCCTGTCACTCTCATACTCCGGTGGGACGACCACTCGACATGACCAGTGAGAGTTAAGGCGCAGGACCGACGGCTTTACGTGCTCTCCGAGGCCCGGGGGTGAAACACCGCCAACTTCCTAACTCCGGGCTGTTACTGAGGCTAACTATACAGAAAGACTCAACTACAGTTGACCCGACCCGGGACTCGAACTCAGGACCTCCGGGTGTGCAGCCGTACATGCTAACCACTACACCACCGAGGCACTTCAAAATAATATACATTTATCTATACTTATAATAAAAGTGTAGCTGATCACTGTACGTACATGGAAGATATTCGAGCAAACTATAATTGGGGGCCTTTATTAACTCACTAGAACCCAAAACAATGATTTTTAGAATTTTTGTCTGTTTATCTGTGCGTTTGTGCGCGCTAATCTCGGACATGGCTTAAATGATCTGAGTGCGTTTTTCACTAATGTATTATGGTAAACCTAAGTTATATTTATTATGTTTTATTTCAATTCGTTCATAAATGAAAAAAATTACATCAATTTAAAGAATCACCCTAAGGGCGAACCCGAGCGAAGCGAGGGCTAGTCGCGAGTCGAGTTTACGTAATAAATTTAAGTGTATTGAAAGTAATTTTTAATCTCTGTAGACAATATACTAAATAGAGATAGCAAAATGAATGAGGTAGGTCATATTAAAACAAAGGTTTTAATTAAAGCCACTCTGTTAAAAATCATTTACATTTTAAAATATTTAACAAAATGGTACTTTGATTTCTGTTACGTTTTGCTAAGCTTAATTGAAATATGTTTCAAGAGCTTTTTTTGCTGTTGACTTTACAGATATTTTTTATTTCATAAAATAGAATTTAATTGGGACAATCTATATTGGTATTTAGTAGAAACACATTCGTGTGGTGTTATTATTATAATCAAAAATATTTCTTTTTATCTCTTTACAGATATGCGTAACTAGTTCATTTTCTTTTTTCATTTTCATTATTTCAAATTTATAAATACGTTAAATAAACTGAGCTTATATTATTATAAAACAGTTATCAGTTGATTATGTTGACCACATTGACGATGCGTACGCACAAATTAGTATACCTTTATAAGCCAGGCAGAAAAAAAGAGAATGGTCAGGCCGAAAAATAATAATAAAAATACAATAAAAACTAGAAATAATAAATAAACAAAGGAGAGGATTGACATGGGTGAAAGCTATCCGTGATTTTTAACTTGAGCAAAAAATTGATAAATTGTTGAGAATAAATGTTACTAAATCTAGTTAAAATATATAAATTTTGAAACATGATGCTGGCTTTTTCTAAGATATCCTTTATGTGTATCTTTTATTACCCCATGTAAGTTAAGAAAAAAACTATTTAGGGTGAATAATATCCATCCCTAAAGTTGTAATAATTACTATTAAGTTATTTTTAAGTTTATTTACCTGTACTAAAAATATAAATTGGACACAAGTACAAAACACTCAAAGATAACCTACTCCTTTTTGGAAATCGGTTGAAATAATAAATTAATATTAAAAAACATTTTTAATAACAAGCTTTCATAACATATAAATTATATAATAAATAGGTTTAATTAAATTTAAAGTTCTATCATTATTCATATAAACTATACGTCATGTAAACAAAATTTCAGCTCAATTAGTTGAGGATAACTGCTCCAAAATTCAGTTGCAAGTTTTAACTCGAACAAACATTCATACAAACATTGCAAGTTAAATAAAAGCTTGTAAAATAGCACTCACCAAGCCACTAAGCATGTAGTGGTACGTCCTGCGTCCCAACTGCACTTTTCGTACGTGTTCCACTAAAATACTTTTTGCATTTTTCGCGTTACAATCTAACACAATCCGTTTGTTGCTCCATCGGTCGAATTGTTCTAGGGCCAGCAGGAACTCCATAGCATCAGACGCGTTGTAGATTCGTTTTACTATGGATATTTTGAAAACTGTCCTGCCTGGCTGCATGGTTTGATAAAGCTGTTGTAAACGAAGTAAACCTGACAAAGAAAGATATTCGTTATTTTCTCTTTAGGTAAAAATCGAATTGATCTTAATAGCTATACATGAAAATTAAAATAAATCAAGTATGATATTGTCTTATCATTTAAATAGTCAAATTGTAAATTTTATAAGTATAAAATTTAATGTTTTTAACATTTTAAATAAAACTATCTTTTTTTCGCGTATATATTTTGATTTTTGGTTCTCTACGTTTCTTTATTTATACTTATTTACACTTAATTTATTTAAATTTGGTATGTGGGTGTTTTCGAGGGGGCGAAAGATCGACCTAGATTAGTCTTCTGTCTGGGAAAACGCGTGTTTTCGAGTTTTATGCGGTTTTCTTTTACCTTAATTCACACAAAATATGGTCGCTAATTTGGTATACTCGGGCATAAGCGTCGTGGTCAAACAGCTAAGGTGCAAGATTGACAATCACAGGTTCGGATCCCGGTCGGACATAAAGTTTTTACTTTTGTTTCTATGTATTTATTCAACTTTTTAGTTTTATTTAAGCCAAATTAAAAGAAAATTGTACATTTGGCCAAAAATTTCGAGCAAAGCTCGGTCACCCAGGTACTATACCTAATTTCAAATGAACAAATATATAAAATAGTTTTATATAGACACAAAATCGTCTCGTCGATCCAAATACAGAACTAAATCGGCAGTAGAACTTTATTTCAAAGGTAATCCAAAGCATAGGTTTACAGTTGGAAAACTACAAGCAGTTCGCAAACTCTGAATTAGATGAAAGATAGAAAACGAACTTGTTCCCTCTTTTTAAAGTTCTCACATTCTTGAGAAAATAGCTTGGACAATTTTGGGAGAATTGATCTTTAAAACGATTTCAGTAAATGATAATATGTCCACGATGGAAGTATACTTAGTTTATATTCCATTTTTTTTCTTAACTAAGATGTGATATAATGTTGTTAGATATTATATAATTTATATCTATACATATACTTAATAAAATTCTGAGTCAAATCAGTACATTAAATATTTTTTGGAAAATCTTATTGAAATATTCATTATTGTCGATACAGAGGCCGAATCTTTAGTTTTTAGAATTTTTATCTGTCTGTCTGTCTGTCTAGCTGTCTGAGAACGGCATCACGAGAAAACCACTGGGCAGATTTTGGTGTTTGGTGTGATGATAGCTGGTTATCCGGGTCAACATATAGGATACTTTTAACTGCGGGAAAATACCTCATTTCTAAGAAATCTATACTAAAAATCAAAGCGTGAGTAGGGATGAGCCCGAGCGCAGCAAGGGTGAGTTGCTAGTAAATATATATTTCTTCAAATTTAATTTTTGATATTAGAAAAATAGATAAGTTTGGAATGATTTGGTATATTAATGAATAACATAATAACAAAATAACTATAAAGCTTAGAAATAATTCGTGCGAAGTAAAAATGTATCTAGAAGGTATTTTTTTTATTTTTAGGCCACTTAGAGTTATCTTATAGTGGAAAGAAAGAAATATGTAGATTTTAGATACAGATATATTTTTTGTACTAAAAGTTAAGAGTTCCACAATAAACGAGGTAGCTCGAGATTAAAAATAACATTGAATTTTGGATATCATTTTTAGAATTTCATAAATTTAATAAGGAAAGGTCGCCATCTTGCCATTTATTTATTCAAAAGCAATAATTTAGCATCAAATATTTCAATTTTACGGTACATATTAGAAAATTGTACTTTAAAGTAATTTACTTTAAATTAAACACAACATACCTTTTATTGTGTCAGAACTTTAAAATTGAATTTGAAATTCCCCAATAATCAATATTGTTTTTTTAATAACAAGCTTGTCAATAGCTAATCTATACTAATAAATGGAGAGCCGATTTTTTTGTTCGGTTACACTGCTATAACTACTGAACCGATCGGAATAATACTCATACCATAAGATACAGCGTGCTTCGGAGAAGGTTTTAGTATATATGTTGGTGATTGATGTACTATGCGGGCGGAGCCGCAGGAAAACGCTAGTAAATAAAAATAAAAGAAAATTGGTTGACAAACAGAGGAGAAAACGGCACTGAACTGTTTTACCTTTAATTACCCTACTACCTATTTATATTATCTAGATTTGACATGTCTTCTCGAACGTTGCTACATAATTAAGCATGTATAAATTGACTGTCTATCATTTGTTTATTTTTATAAATATATAACTACTAGCAGAACCCGCGGCTTCGCTTGCGATAAAACTACAAAAAATATCTAAATAAGGTAGTTTCATATAAACTTTCATCCCCTATTTTACCCCCTTATAGATTGAATTTCGAAAAATGCTAAAACACGTATTTATTTAATTTTATTGAAAAGTATTAATACCAAGTTTCAAGTAATTCTGATAATAAATATTTTTTTGGATTGTATTATAACGTATTTTCCCGTAGGAATTAGATAATCTGACGCTATAAAAAGTAGCCTAGATACATCACTCTCCAGGCCTCCAACTATCTCTACACAAAAAATCACGCCAATCCATCTCACCATTTCGACGTGAAAGAAGGATAAGCAAACAAACACACTTTCATATTTATAATATTAGTATAGATATGGATTCCTTTTTAAAAACAAGTTTTTATGTCATATAAATTGTGTGATGTAATAAATTGATGGGTTTGATTTAGTTTAAAGTTGTTTTTTTTTGTTGTTTTTTAGTTATTTATTGTTCTCAGCAAAGCCTTTCATTTAATATCCATAAAATAAATTTCATAAAAAAAGCATATTCCGCCATCTTTGAGAGTCCACCATATTGGATTTAGAATGACGTCACTTATCTAACCATGCATTGTCATCCAAACTAACGTGTATGCAAAGTTTCAGCTCAATCAGTTGAGGATAGCCGCTTTAAAATTCAGTTACAAGATTTGTCCCGAACAAACATACATACAAAGCAAGTTAATTAAAAAATGATAAAAAGTTAAGTCGCTAGTACTTTAAGTCGATCATGTTCTTAAGCAGTACTTACATAGAAATAGGAAACATACAAGCTATCAACATTGATGTAATGAAAAAAAAAATTATATATTAGGCCCACTTTAAACTTGTCGTCTAGCCCTGCCTCGAGCTAAACAGCTGCAGTTATAGACATTTCAAAATTACATCCGACTGGACAGAAAACCAGATATAAGAGCGATTATTATGTTTGAAGCCGCCATATTATATACAAAAGGAGTGGAAACGAGGACATTCATACATAGCTGACGGCGTTTTACGTCGGTTTATTTTCCAGTATTCCTAAACCAATTCGAATCCACGCGAATTTTATCGAATTAAACGCCCCATATAATATAAGCGATACGAAAAAAGGACAAAGCGTGCCTCGGAGAGGCAAAAAATAAAATCTGTTTTTCTGTGCGGGAAAGCCTTGAGCTGCTATTAGGTATTCTCGTATGTTATATGGTATACGCTTCAACGTGAGCTTTTCTGATACTTTTTACTACTGAAGCGATTTTCGTGTAATGATTACTAAAACTATTTTCGTAATAAATTCGTTTTGACAAAAAATGTACAAAATAATGTATATTTCGATATAAATAAAATTTATTGATGGCTTATGCTTATTGAAATATATGAAGTATAGCAAACTTTTTAATTATGTAAAAGGTACGAATAAATAAGAAGTCTTATTATTTAAGAATTATTATATATTGGTAGAGTAAAAGATTCACTTTTAAAACACGAAAACAACAAAAAACGAGGTTCGGAATGTCAGTTACTAGTTTTTATAAGGTAAATAATTTATAATATAAAAATGAAATGTAACTATTTATAATAATAATAACACATATTATTTTCATAAGTTATTTAAAATAGATTTTTAAGCAATTTTACGAATAAAAGCTCACAGTGAACCTGTATATTTAAATTGTCTATTTTATATATATAATATATATATATATATATATATATATATATATATATATAGATAACAAGATTCTCTTACCCAATACCAAATACAAATATAATTACCACGAAACTGTACAACGCTTTATTTTTAGCTACTATAAAATATTGTATACAAACAAAATGTACCAAAATCCTATCACAATGAATTTCAATCGAGCGTTTTTAACCGAAAGCCATTACAAGCCGCCCCTGATTTTCACTGAATAAATCGAATTACAACCTCCTTAATCCGTTTATCCAAAACAGTTTCGATGTTAAGAGACAAATGTGTGGGTAAAACTTTCGGCCAGACTATTTGCAACACGTGACGCGCTTGAACCCGTCACCCTTGAGGTTTCGCCACTCGACTAATGGCATGTTACAGATGGCCTATACCAAATATAAGTTGAAATTTATATATATTTCACTTGTCGCATGTGTCGTTTGTTGAATTTTCTATATTACTAGTAATATTTCTTTTAGTTGACAGTACATTATTACTTTCAAGGATTTGATGTTTATAAGATACTAGCAGAACCCGCAAATCCGCTTGCACTGAAACTACAAAAAAAACTCTAAAAAAGTAGGTTTCATACAAAATTTCATCCCTTATTTTATTCTCTTATGGGATGAATTTCAAAAAATACTAAAACACGTATTTATTTAATTGTATTGAAGAGCATTAATACCAAGTTTCAAGTAATTCTGATCATAAATATTTTTTGGGTTGTGTTATAAAGTATAACGTGTTCTCCCGTGGGAATGAAATAATCTCCCTCGGTAAAAAGTAGCCTCCAGTTCTCCAACTATCTTCACACAAAAAATCACGCCAATCCGTCATTGCGTTTTGACGTGAAAGAAGGACAAATATACAAACATACTTTCACATTTATAATAATAAGGATTAAGTGGTATTTCAGCCCAAAAACTTAGTAGTAATGAAATTAAAAATATAGTTCATGTAACTTTTGTAAGTTTTCACAGCGATTTCTAAAGTATTTACTTGCTTTTCTGTAACTATGTAAATATAATTTATCTCTCTCTCTCTCTATATATATATATATATATATATATATATAT